ATCACTGCTGTGGGCTTCTTCCAGAAATAGGTACAGAAAGGAGCTTCTTATCATGTACCTGGTAGGTGTGTGTTGGCATGACATTTTTTGTTTCTTCTTTTTGTAATTCCTGCAGACATCCTGCTACTGTTCAAGTTTATAATGAATAGGAATGAAAGCTGTGTCCTCTTTTCACATGCTCAGGCCCACTTGAAATACATGTCTCTCCTATGTGGGCAGTACAAGTCAGACCTGCATACAGTCCCCATAAAACTAGTATTTTAATTTTTTTTTTTAACTGTGGGCTTTATATTTTTGGTAGATGTGTGTGGGTACATGTGCTGTCCTTGCTGCTGTAGTAGCAAAGTACCCGGAGGCAAAAGTCTCAAAACCATTGAGGCTGTTTTACTAGGGCTGGCTGGTTTTGAGACGTGGTGGCCATCAGCCACCCCTCTTGAGCTGAAGAGCTGTGCTGAGAGGGGTGCACAGCTCCCAGACACTCTACCCCAGAAGCAAAACCACAAAACAGCTGCCTGTGCAAGTTAAGCCTGGAGCAGCATCTGCCCCATCAAAAGATAATCCATCTGACCTACATCAGAAGCAGCTTTTGCTGTGCTTCTGTAAAACATCTGGAGAGCTGAGCTGGTGCTGTTGTGCTCTCTGAAGGATTTATATGCCTGGGACTGACTACATCTTGTGGATCCGAAAGGCAGAAAATGATAGAGCAGCATGAACAGGTAGCAGAGGAGGTATCAGAAATGAGGTGTTTGGCTGAGGTGTGAGCTAGCAAGCTTGAGCTCACTTTCTCCAGAGGGCAGATCCTCATATGTTGCAAAGGGTCCTGGCTCCTCTGGGGCTCCTGGAGCTGTAGACACTTAAGTCATTCAAAGATCTGTCCCAAATGCTTTATAACAACTGATAATCCCTTTTTTCTGGGTATTTTGTTTTACACATCCTGCTGTGTGAGAACTTACTGCTACTAGAACTTTGCTGTGGTATGTTTCTAAAATGCAGATCTGAGAATGCATTATTATCATTTATGACTGGCAATAAATCTCAAAATGTTTGAAACCACTGGCTTAGCCAGCTTTCCCTGTTTGAGAGCAGCTATTTCACCTTTGTTTCTATTGTGTAGTTCTAAATGTGTTACCTGTTCAACTCCTAGGGAGCAGAGCTGTGACCAAATGCAGTAAAATTCATTGGCAACCTGCAGTCTTGTTGCAAAACACCCTTTCCTCATAAGGCAGTAAAGACCTGACATTTCTTTTCAGACTGCTTTCAGCTCTTAATATTTAATATTACTATCATCCGTTTTCTATCATGTTCCTTTTATTTAATGAGTTGTTGAAAATATTTACTTTCTTCTCCAAACATCTCTGTCTTGTAATTGTTCTGGAGGCATTTGGAACTAAAGTCTTTGATACTCTGTTTATCTGATTTTAGCTCAGTCAAAATTTCTATCAGAGGAATCTGGAAATCATTAAGATAATTTATGTTTTCCATCTAAACCCATTAAAATAATAGTTATTGTAATTCTCTAGGCTCAGTGTATGTGTGTGGTTAGGTTTTAAACTGCTGTTTCTAGAATGTTCTAATAAGGTTGGCTCTCTTTTTGCCTTAGTGTGGAAGTACTCTTGCTGAATTTCATTTGCTTATCTGACTTTGGCTTGATACTGGGAAAAGGGAAATGAAATGGCTTGTTGAATTTGGTGAAAAACACCAAGAAAGAGAAAATTTGACGCACAAGTGACAAGATGTGGGTTCAGTTCCCTCTTCTGCAAAGTGATTTCTCTCTATTTGTCTGAAAATGAGGGTGAATTCTCTTTCCCCCCCCATCCTTTTGTCAGTCTAGAATCTCAAAAATTGAGGATGCCCTTGTTATGTGCATATTGCCCAACAAAAACTGACCCCAAAAAGTAGTGTAGAAAGTCAAGGAGTCTTCTTGTTAAAATGGATGACATTGCTGGGAAGTCAGTACTTCTTTGGGATTTGGTGGTGCACCTAACAAATGTCTCTACACTTCTGGTTTATTTCATAAATATATTCCCAGATAAATTCATGTTAGTACAACCTTTTTACAACTGTTAAATTATATACTGAGGATTTTTGGGTAGCAAACACCAGCAAAAAGGATCTGGCATGTGGGATAAGTTTAACCTTTGATAGAAATGTCAACTTCTGTCAAGATCATTAAATACTTGCTTAGTCTTCTACAATGTTTTTGTTTATTTTCAGTTAATAAAATACACAACAGAACCTGCTAAATTTCTTTCTCTCCCACATGGTTAAGAGAAAACTTTTGCATGCAGTGAAAGTTGTATAAATAACTGTAGGCAGCTTGGAAAATACAGATACAAGAAAATATATTGTGGGAGCCAAGCCATCTAATTTACTGCCAGGATTGCTCAAACAAAAAAAACCAACAATATTTATCATGGTAGTTTAATTAAGTGAATTAAAACTTTTTAAAGTAATTGAGACCATCCATGTTATTGGTTGCATAAAGTGCTCTAAGCAGAACGAGGGAGCACTGTGTCTAAACAGCCTGTCCCTCAGCAAATGCAGCCTTTATTTTTGTAATGTGGCTGTGGTGCAAGGCTAGGGGCCCAAGTGCAAGTTTGTCACTGAAACATTACGTTTGTAAGTTTAAGGAAGTGTAAACAGTGTTCTGGTCTCTTAGTCATGGAACTTTCTTTTCAAACTCCTATAATTAAGCTAAAACTGAAATGGAGGCTGTAAGAATGTGTGTCTATATACTTTGCCATTCACTGTTGATATTGCCTTGCCTATTGCTAAAGAGCAATCTGTAATCCTAACTCTTCTTTACAGTAGGCACTAATGAATTGCTTTATATTTGTCTTTAGATAGAAGAAAAATGTATGAACATTTGCGTATTGATAAATGGGGAAAAATGCAATGGTTAAAGACTATCACAGCTGACTTGGCATTGCTGTGAAAAATGGTCTTTTTGGTCTTTTTTAATGATAGGAGACAGGAGGTGGAGAAGTGCATTATGACTGCTAAATCCTCAATGCCCATAGGAAGCCCTTTCTTTCTAGGTAAGGCACTCACCCCTGTGAAGGAAAGGCAGCTGCTTGAGACAGATGACCATTTGTTTCTTCGCTCACATTAATTGTTGCAGCTAAACAATTCTCTACCATGAACTGAATTTTCTCTGATGCAGAAAAATGAATTTTTCTACTTTATGTAGCTAGGAAGTAGGGCAGTACTAACATTTTGGTTTCTTCAGCAGCAGTAGCGAATAAATTCTATCTGGACATTTTGAGATAAAAGTCTGTTTTGCCTGTGCAAACTGCCACTGAGGCTTAGATACCATTGTTGCAAAGCTTGGAGCAAACAGAGCAGCTGTTTCAGTCCAGTTTAAACATGGTGAACAAGAGTGAAGCATATTAACTCCAGCTGTATACTGATAACAGCTGGGAAGGAAAATCACTGCAAGGGAACCCAAAGTAAATTAGCAGCCTTGGCTATCATGAGTATGACTCCAAGGGAGGAGCAGCAGTGAAAGTCTGATCATTTGAACCATGGAGAATTTAATGAGAAATTCTCATGCCTCTTTTCATGCTTCTGTAAAGATGCAGAGCAGGTTCTGGAGCTGGTGGCACTGCCTCTGAAGGTTTTTGATGCAGATCTCTTCCTGTACTCACACTCATGGGCAGTTTTAAGATGAAGGCAAGTACTGAGAGAGGGATTTTGTGGAAAGTAATTGTCTTTGAGTTAGAGGAAGTGTCCATAGCTTACTATCTCCACTTGACATCTACAGAATTTGAGGGGCTTTTAATGCAAGAAAAATTTGGGGAATATTACATTTATTTCCATAGACTTTGTGTGATTCTCTAGCTGTCTTTGACTATACAAAGACTATTATGGCACTGTTCAAGCTGCAGTGGAATGGTTTCTGTGTTGGTGCACAGATGCTTTTGAAATTTCTTGCAATTGAAAGAACTGAGCAAACATGTCCATTTTTCATTTTTTTTGCTAAAACTGCATATTTTCTCCATGCTTTCCCCCTCTATCTTACTTACCTTTCTCATCCCTTCAACCTATGTTCATGTTCTGTTTGGTGTCTTCTTATCTTCATTGATTTAGAATTGTGTCTTGGGTGTGCTCTCCTAAGAACCTTGTGTACTTTAGGTGGATGTGAAAGGACTTTAGACAGCTAAAGTTTTGGACAGGAGGCAGTACAGCTGTCTGTGTCTCTCTGAAAAGAGAGCATAAGGATATGAATAAAGACATTTAAATGAGGCCAGTTAGTATTGTCATAAAGTTCTTATAATGTTAACCAGCTGTTAGAGACTTGTTCTCATTCTTTTGTAGATTACATGCCTCTTATTTTGCTGAAAGTCAGCGTGCTTTATTTCTGTGTGCACACCAAACAATTATATAATAAACCAGGTCTTCAGTTTCATGTGTATACAATTATGAGAAAGCAGTAGCTTCTCAAAGAAGGCAGTTTTGGCATCCTTCATAAAGCCTGTTTTCAAGTTAAAAGTATGGAGTATGTCGAGTGAAAAATGTAAACATGTATGGATGTATGTGAAAATAGTAGGGGAGTGAAAGAGGATAGGAGAAACATGAACAAGGGAAACAGAATTAAAAACACATCTTGCAAATGGCTTGACAATACCATGTCAAAACAGTTGTAAAGCTGAGTAAACTCCAAAGCCCAGTGGCACACACAACTATGAGGAGAATCTCAGTGTTCCCAAAAGACAGGGACCTGTCTGGGTGGATCACTGAAAGTATTTAAATGCCATATGTTAAAACTACCTATTTCCTTGTGCTTTTATATAAAAGTGATTTTTCTCAGTGAGAGAAATCTGATGGTTCTGATCCTTTTATGACTGAAGTAACTTTCTGATTGACCCCGGGACTGTGTATAAAAAGCAACTGCTTATTAAATAGCTGATAATACTGCGTTCTGACTTTACTTACTCCCATCTACTATGCTTTGTTTTATTGTGTTTTTCAGGTCTGATAGCTGCACTGGATTGCTGATTGAGGTCCCCTCTAAATTATAACACTGAAAACAATGGCAACAGAATGTATAAAAACCTGCTGTAAATTGTGTTTCTGCATGGATGAGGAAAAAAATGATTGTGAGTTCTGACATAATGAGAGTTTAACAAATGTTTTGCTGCATTAGTGATGAGATTTCCTATTAATAGAATTACTGTGTTACCCCTGATAAATTTGATTTCTCTTACAACATTCAGAATTCTTTCCATACCTCCACTTGGAGATTGAACCCATGCTTGTTAATATTATGAATTGGAACTGAGAAATAACAGTTGTCTCAAGTCTGCTCTTTGCAGTCTAGAATACTGTCCAAAAAAGCCAGCTTTGTTACCCAAGGTTGTGTAAAGATCTTATATATTTCAAACTCTGAGAATTTGAATGCTTTTTGTTTATTTTTAACTCTGTTAGAGTTTTGTTTGGTATCTTATTTGTTTGAAGAACTCATCTATGCTACAAGTGTAGCTCTTGTGCAAATTCACTTAAGAAGGTAGCTATAAATACAGAAGCTTGGGCAACAAAGTTTGGATCAGTACAGGTGTCAGGAGGATGAATATCTTTTCCTGATGCTAGTCTTGAATGCTGTAAAACTGAATACTAGCAGCTGTTAAGTAAAGTATCAAGCAGAGATACTATTAAGTAGAAGAGATCTGTTCATAGTATTGTTCAAAAATTAATGCACATGTGCACTGTCTGTCTTGCTCTCTATTTTTAGCAGTTTCCATGGTGCAGGAATCTGAAGCAGTAGCTGCAAGCAAGCCAACTATTGTAGAGCAGCCTCCATTGTCTTCTGTGTCAGTGAAGCGTCAAGTTGGCTGTTCTGAGGATTATTTGCTTTCCAAGCTGCCCCTGGATGGCCAGGAGGTGCCATTTGTGGTCCCTCCATTCAGAATGGCTTATGTACAGCCAAAGAACCTTCCTGGTATCTCACATGCTGGAGGGATTAAAGGTAAAATACAGACAGTATTGCTGAAATTGCTGTTAGCTTCTGCTGCACCTTCAATGTTGTTAAGTATTCCTACTGAAAACATGTTTGCAGAACTTTGCTAGAAGCCTGGTCTTGTTTCAAAGAATCATAGATTGTTCTGAACTGTAAGGGTCACACAGGGATCATCAAATCCAGCTCCTGGCCCTGCACAGGACACCCCATGAGTCACTCCAGGTGCCTGAGAGCATTGTCCAAACACTTGAGCTCTGCCAGGCTGGTGCTGTCAGGTCCCAGGAGAATAGGGAGCTTGTTTCTTTTCTCTCTGGAAATCCAGAGAGGTTTTGGGAAGAGTGTCATCCAGCTGTGAATCTCTGTGATGTTGTGTGAATAAAACTGTATGGGATGATTGCACACCAGTGCTCATATTCAAAAGTAATGGAAGATGCTTAAAGGAAATGGAATCTTTAGAAAGAATTTATTGAATTTAGTGGAGACAAGACAGGAAAGACCTAACATATCCCCAGTATCCATATCTCTCAAGTAAAAGGAGGAGGGTGTTCTGACTTTCATGGTTAATATTCTGGTATGTTTTAACATACTAACACATCTTCCTTTTCAAATTTTGCCAATAGATGGCAGATGCTACTATCTGGCAGAATTTTTTGTCCCTATTATTTCCTGCTCCTTTTGCTGTTTTTGGGAGGCCAGGGGGCACAGATCCCCTGTTATGAGGTTTCATATGGTACTATTTCTTTTCTGCTTCACAACAGTCTTGTACTTCATCCTCTGTTACTTCCAATACTCAAACTGCCAAAATGAGGTACTTTCAATCTAGACACAGTGGCATTTAAAAAGAATGATGTCAGTTACAGAGCATATGCTACTGTTAGGCTTTTAGTCCTGCCAGGAGATGCAGAGAATTAGGTAAGGGAAAACTTTGGCATGGAGACATACCTGAACAGTTGTTTTCTCTAGGATTGCTTTGCCTCAAGGACATGATAAGCTGGTGGTATGTTCTTAGCCTCATGTGACTTTATTTCCTTTCTGAAGGTGAAAAGCCTAATAACTGAAAGAAGGCAATCATATGTTGCATAACAACTAATGCAGTCCTAACTAACTTTTTTGTGATTGTGGGGTTTTATTCCCACCCTTCCCTCTTCTTCTCCCTAGGTCCCTGCTGTTACTTCTTTCCTGCTCCTGCAGGGCTGTTACCAAACTTCTTGCCCACCCACTGCTGCATGTACCACTGGCACCATGGCCAAGCTAAGTCAGTGCAGACTGGCCATTCTGTGCCCCATCTTCTCGTGGGCTTCATTTGGCATGCCAGCAGCCATTAACAGGCAGCTGAAGGGCTGGAGGTAGAACATGTGAGGCCCCCTCATCTCTGAGCCTGATCTCCCCAGTTGCCTGCTGTTTCAGTAGCTACTTGTTGTAAGTTTGTGGTTGGATATGCTATGGAAAAGCAGAACATGCTCCTGATTATCCCCTTTGCTGCTGGCTCTGCCTTGCTTAGTCTAATCTCATCCTCAAAATACAGTACAGAGAAGTTCATCAAGGACTCTGAGGCATGGGTGTTCTCCAGAGAGAAGGAAGATGTATCTAACAGCCTTTAGGTGAATGTTTTCCTTGTTCATGCTGTTCTTACACAATCCTAACAGTCAGTGACTTGTCTACATTGAGAATTCTGCTTCCTGATAATTTCTGAAGGACCTGATGTACAGAGTGGTCCTTTAGGCTGCAAGCTGTTAGGTCTTTTGGCAGGATGACCTGACTCTTGAGCAAATATTTTAAATTTTTGAACAAATAATTGAAAAGTGACTCTTATGTCAAGTAGGCAACTTTCATTTCTCTTTCCAAATATAAATACTAATTTTTTTAAGTATGCAGCTTTAAGCTGCATGAAGTTGTGCTTAAAAATGCAGTGTTTACTTTTTAGGGAGATTTACTAAACAGAGTGAAGTGTGCTGTTGTTCTTTTTTCACATTAGCCAAAGCGCCAGCATACTCAAAAAATGTATTCAGGGTACTATTTTCTTAGACTGTTGTTAAATATCTGTAGAAGTCCAAGTGCTGTTCTCAGTTCCTCACCATTTTCTGTGCATGTCTGGCCATTTTCCTTTAGTGAAACAGGACATGCTCAGAGTTAGCTCTTGGCAGCCCTTCTGAAAGCAATTAAGTTCTGGCAGCCTTTCTCTTCAGTGCTCACTGCAGTGTGTCTCAGGCTCTCACAGAAGTAAGCTCGCAGGAAGAAGTGCTCCTGGTCTGGAACATTGGATTTTCCATCATCTGCTGTGTAGCAATTCTTTGTGGCCTCACTTTTAGTGTTCATCCTGATTTACATCATGCTCAAGCCCATTTTGCTTGAGTTCTTGCTTTATCACTGCCCATGTTCCATCTCAGTGTTTAAGTTTTTTACTTTACTAACACATGCAGGAGAGGACTCTTGAGCAGTGGTAGTTTGCCTCTTATGGTGCAAGATACCTGAAGGTCTGAAGGTACTTTATTACAGGGTAAAGACTTTTTTAAGAGACAGGTTGAAGTCCAGGGAGGGGAAGTGAAGGAAGCAAATATCAGAGTTTGGCAGAATCCAGGTCATGCCATTCTCTAAAGTGCCGTTACATATGACTTCTTTTAGTCCAGACAGTAAAGAACACTACAGCAGTGTTCCTCACTGTTTTGCTGACCAAGGCATACATGTTTTTTCTGAAATTATTCTGAGCTGAGTAAAGGGGTGGGATTCAAGCAGTCTCAGATATGTCTACTTATGCCTCAGCCCACAATTCAAGTAATTTTGGGCTAGTGATTTTATCATGGACAGACTTGCCATGAAAAGTAGATAAGGAAACTGCAGTCACAAGCTGCATTATCTTTCTGTACAAGATCTTCCGGAAGATCTAGGGGCCCAGTTAGTTCAGTCAGAACATGCTGGGGGTAGCCAACTAAATAATTTGGAGGTTTTCTATACACAGAGTGCTACTTTTGCGGTTAACTTCTGTCTTGTTGTCTGTCTTTGAAACCTTCTGTGTTTAACTACTTAGACATTTACTGCAAAACCCCAAGAGAGGGTGTGCATAGTTTTTTATGACCAATTTAATTCCAGTGTTTGCTCACACACTGTAGAAACCTGCCATAATGTGAATGTGTGTTTTCTTTTTCTTTTTTTCTTCCCCCTTTACCCAGAGTAGATAGTACTGAAATATTTTGTCCTTTGCCCTGAAGGCACTCTGCCTGCCTTGTGAAGCCAGGCAGCATGTGTTGTGTCTGGAGCCCTTGCAATTGCTGTTTGTTGTGCCTCACAGAGTCAGCCAGAGCCTCGTTTGGCGAGCGGAAGGCAGAGCTGCACGGCGCGTTCCAGTGGCCCAGCTGTGACGTCTACAACCCCTTCTATCTGGAGCATCGCGTCTCTCCTGATCTCATCAGGCGCTGCCCAGCAAAAGCAGATAGCAGGAAATTGTATGGATCAGGTGAGAAGGACCACACCCTTGCTTCTCCGCCTTCCTCCCCTTTTCAGGGTTTATAGGTAAGAGGAATAAAAGCCATTAGTCTACAGAAGACTTGTTTGGTTATCACAGTTCTCAAGCTGGTCGGTGTGCTACAGACACTCCTTGGTTGGTGAATCAATCTGCAGAGCCAGCTCTGCTTAATTTTCAGCTGCACTGTTACTTTTTGTCTTTTAGGGGCTTAACAAGGCTAGTATGCATCACACAAAGGTAGAGAAATTGGCAAAGTGAGATACTGCCAAATTAGTTGCCTGTGATCCAAACCAGGATGCAGTACTGGAGATTTCAGCTGCCAGTAAGAGGAGTGGGGGACATGGAAAAAGGAAGCCAGGCAGTATGTTGGGTAGGAGGAGTGCCTCAGGAGTACCTATGTGGGGAGAGGAGCAAGCACCAAAAAGCATTCAGGAGCAGATGATAAGAACAGGTGCAAAATGGGGCATGATGCTATATGCTGACTTTTTTTGTGGTTAGCTTTTGAAGCTGCAGCAATGTCCCCACTTCTGAGTGTGCAGGAATGAGGGAGGGCTGCGAGACAGTAAAAGTTTAGATAGAAAGTGTTTGGCTACCTAGGTAAAAATTGTCTTCTGTGCTGTTCATTGGTGTAGGTGTCCTGTAGTGAATACTGTTCAGACTGGAGTAAATGACTAGCTTGTGATTGCTAAGGCAAATACATTCAGAAAACTCCAACACTCCAGGAAAGGTCTACGCTCTCCATGAAACTGGAAGCTGGCAACAGCTCACATTTTTAAAGATGTTTTATTTAGGATGGTACAGCATTCTCATTTTCAGCTGGGGGAAAATATCTGTCTGTGTTCTGTTTTAAAAGAATTCTGAATCACCATAGAGACTACATGAAAAGACTGTTCCATACATTTTTTAAGAGAACAGAACACATGTAGAATTTTAGCAGCCTTTAATACATATGGTTTTACCAGGCTTTGTAAGCACCTGTGGTGGGAGCCAAATGGGTTTTATTAAACTGTCTTGAGCATCTTCCCTTCAGTCCATCATCTCTTTTTCCATTTTTCCTCAAGCAAAGAGAACACATTACTAGTTTTGTCTTAGTAAGTTTAAACACAAGAAAGGTTTTTCTATTGTGTCTAAATTACAGTTCTAAAATTTTTCCTTCAGAGTTTTTTGACAGCTGTTTCAGAACTTAGAACTTTATCCATCTATAAACTATTAAAACAAAACTCTAAACCTAGTTTGTCGCAGTGAGTGCTGTGATATTTTTCATGTGTGTTGGTTTAGAACTACAGAATGTATTTATTTGGAAGGTACAAAATTAAATTCTTGAATTTTAATGTGAAGCCCCTTCTCTTCATCTTAAAAAAAACCTCCACACAAAAAAACTGAAAAGTAAACTCATTAATGATTTTCTGAAATTCTACTTATTATTGGTAAACAACATATTTTTATGATTAAAATATTTCTGCTTTTTTATATTTTACAGACAGCTTTCTGTATAAAATTGACATCGTTTTATTAAAAATTTAATTTTTTGAAAAAGACAGCATCTCTTCACCCCTGCCCCATCCCCATGTTCCTGAAAAACATTACCACATAACAGCAGATCACACTGCCTTTAAACCATTTTGGTCATTTGTAATCTGTAGGCTTGAACAGATCATTTCCAGCGATTAGTGAAAGTTATTCTTAGTTAAGTTTTTTCCCTAGCAGTGGTGCTGATGTGATTTTTATTGTTCTTTTTGTCTCATTAGTTAGTGATTTAAGAGCCAGTGCTTTGGCTGGGCCCCTGGATGTGAGCCGTTCGATGTTTGATCTAAGGAGCCCCCCTCACCGGTTCATCAAGGTGAGTTCCCCTTGCAGCCAGGGTTACACTGAGAACTCAGCTTTGTCTGTCTGTCTGTCCCTGCTGCATTGTTTCCAGAGTAAACACTGGAGGGCATTGCACTGTACACTGGGAGGACTGGAGACGAAATTTCAACATCTTGACCAACTTCAAGAGGGTTTTTCCTGGTGTCTCCTGTGACATTTGCTGTTGTGGCCCAGAGGGGCTGTTGAGAAACCCAAGTAGGCAGTTAGGCAGGACAGGACTGACAGCATGTCATGGTTCATCATCTTGTGGTTTCTCCCATCAGTTGAACAGTGCAACAGTGGAAGTTTCCATTGACACAAAACACTGAGTTTATTTCTTTCATAATAATCATGTCTTACATAGCAATGAAGTTGTGTGTATATTCATGAGCAAAAAAAATGTCTGCTGGTCCAATGGGTCCTCTATGAGCTTGTTGCAGCAAAATAGTAATTGCATGCTGCTGGATCAAGAAACTAGTAAGGAATTAGGCAATTATTTGAAATGGAGTATTTAGTTTTCATCATATCTTGTCTGATGGTATAATCTCTGGGTTTTGCACCTGTTGCTCTGAATTGATTCCTTTTTTCCTGTCCCCAGAGATATGATTCAGTCTCCAGTGTACCTAGCAGTTCTTCTTCCAGGAAGGATTCACAAGGCAGCAACAGGAGTCTGGGTAATGTTTTGCTTGTTTACCTTGTAATGAAGTATTTCCCTTTGCACATGAAACATTAAACTGTTTCTACTCTGCTGTTGATGTTTTCGTTTGGTTTGGGGTTTTTTTGAGATGAATATGACTAGGAGATCAGCTGGAGATGACCTGGCAATTTGAAATTAAGAGTTTTGGACTTGCACTTCCATGTTGTTTGGAGATTGAGCAGATGAGACTCTGAAAAGTTCTCATGCTTTTGAGAAATTCATTCTTGGATTTACTACCCAAGTGAGCTATGAAATCACAGATACCTTGTTAGAAGTGATAGAATGCAGCACCAGGTCCCAGGTCTAGTCCTTTTTCATGTATCAGTATTTTTCTCTGTGAGGTGCCTGAAATCCAATATCCATATTACGCTGGTAATTAGACAAGAATATTGCATGCAAACCCATTATCCTTATTTATGAAAGAATGCTTAAGAAGTGGAGATACAGCAAAATAAACCCTCAAAAACTAATCAAGTCCCCACAGAAGTCACCCTGCTATAAGTCAAGTTTGACCCAGTCTCCTTCTAAAGGAAGACTGAGGCAATGACCTGGTTCCAGTCATGACAGAGAAATGCTGCATATTAAATGGCTCTTCTGACTTGGAGACAGCATAATAGTAAAATGTTTACTAGACTGGAATTGAAATTTGAGAAAGAGACCAATTTATAAACTTAACAGTGAAAGAGATTAAGGGAAGTGATAGGATATAAATGTGTTCTGGCTGTCTCAAGAACATGTTTTTTTTCCCTTTCTTAAAGTTGTTTGAGTATAACACAAGTTATTAAGCTCAGTAGAGATAACCCAGACACATGGTGTGATTCTTGGTGTGCTCTCCTGTGCAAGGCCAAGAAGTTGGACTTCTGTGATCCTTAAAGATCCCTTCCAACTCAGGATATTCTGTGATTACATTATTCTGTTCCATGAAATGTGAAGGCCTTTACCCATGCAGCAGGTCAGGTTACTGGACTTGGTGGATATTTTGTCCTTGAAATGGAGGTGTTAAAAAATTTCAAACTCATTTTGAGAGAAGTTTGTGAAGATAAGCAGTCCTCTTACTAATGAGTTCCCTTATTTCTGGAGTGAACTTTTAAGATACTGCATTACTTATAAAAATAATAATTGGCTTTCTTCCATAGACACTATTACGTTATCTGGTGATGAACGAGACTTTGGAAGACTGAATGTGAAGTTGTGTTATGTTTCTTCTGTAGAGCAGATTTGGATCACAATTTTACATGTAAGTAAATATTAATAAGTTGGTTATTTATTCAAATAATGGCTATTCAATAACCAATGACTATTCTACTATACTTAGTTGTAATTGTCATAAAATTTGTCTCTATGTTACTTCAATAAATACTTTTAGGAAAATAAAAGTAATGAAATTGTTTATAAGTGTTATTATAAACAAAGTTCAGTCAAATGTAATACTAGGCATCAAAGCATCTTCTTCCCCTTTATTTTTTTTATTTTGTTGCAGTCTCTGTTCTGCTGCAGTCAATAAAAATAGTATATATCTCCTTATGTTACTACACATATGTTCAAGTTGTGAAGTGAGGAACTACTCAGCACATAGAAAGCTGAGCTGCTCACAGGCTGGTCCTGCTATGGACATTTTCCTGTGAACATCTGAAGGCAGTAAATGCTGTGGAGGCACCATTTAAGTGACTTCTGTGATTCTATGGCTTTAAATCTAACAGTTCCTTCAGGGTAGAACCCTGAGGACAGAACTTTGAGGACAGGTAGCTTCTTGAGGCTTTTTTGTCAGTAAATGTGATACTGTATATACTTCCAGAACTAAGAATAATTTTCAGGCAAGGGAACTTTGAGTAGGCAGAAACCTTGCAAGTACATCAAATGGTAAGTCTTGCATTGTCTAAACTGATTTTTTTCAATGTTGCAGTGCAAAGACCTGAGCTGGCCTTCTAGCTGTGGGGAAAATCCTCGGATCTGTGTCAAGGGTATTCTCACACTGCCCAAGCCAGTGCATTTCAAATCTTCTGCCAAGGAGGCCTGCAATGTAAGTAGAGGCATGCAAAATACTAAGAAATATTTTTCCCTACAAAAAATAAATGTGACAGGTAAATGGATTTTTAAAATAGACCAAACATCCACTCCTGTGCCACATTTGCTGTGGTAACTGCCCAGGTGTGTTTTACTTCTCCCAACTTCTCAAAATCCTATTAAAAGCCTTATTCCACTTCCTCCCCTTGTATCTTCCCTTGCATTGTACTCTTGTCCTCTTTCTCTCACAAGCTGGCAGGACAGATTTGCTCACAGGGCACTGAACCATGAGCTGCTGGCTGTGGTGAGGGGACCAGAGGAAGGCTGGGCATGCCTGTAGGTGCACACTCATCCCAGGGAAGGGAGCTGAGGTACTGCCTCTCATTTGGCAGGAGACAATTTCACACTTTGTCCCTACAGAAAATAGTAAAAATTGGTTTCGTGGGTCAAGATTCCTGATAGTGGCAGTAAAGGAAAATTAAGGGGGTGGAAAGTAAAGCAACATAATGTGAGCCAAAGGTGAAAGAAAGAAAAAGTTATCTGGAGAGACTGTATCAAAAGGTTAGAGAATCTGTTACCACAATGTGTGTGCTGTTGTAAAGCTCCAGAAGAGATGGGCACAGCTTGTTACGGTAGTGAAAAATAATCCAAGACTTCAGCCCTGCCAGGGTGTGACAACACAGGGGTGAGTGTGTCTGGATTTTGCACTCTAAAAGCACACTTTTCCATGGCAACCTTAAGTGGCAGTCAGAAGCAGTGGCTATAGAGCCAGGATGCCTTGGTTTCTAGATTTTGGGCTCAGTGGGATTCTCTTAAAATGATAATGTTACTCATCTGTTTTTCTTTCTAGGACATTGAATTTATGGAAACTTTTGTTTTTGCCATTAAACTGCAAAGCCTGCAGGCTGTCAGATTGGTATTTAAAATCCAGACACAGACTCCCAGGAAAAAAACGATTGGGGAATGTTCCTTGGCACTGCGGGAGCTGAGCTCACAGGAGTCCAATCATTGGCTGGATATATCTCCTCCTTCCAAAGCACCTGTAAGTGCCAATACTGGGAAAGTATCTTCTTATCTCTCCTGGAAGGGGTTGCTGGATATGAAAGTACAATAATTCAGTAGTAAAAACTAGAGGGATTCTTTTTTTTTTTTCCTTTTTTCTCTACTTCCTTGGAGAAAGGCATTTTGATGGGGAAAAAATGCAGACTTTTGAACTCTGCACATAGCTGTTCTGGTCATAAACTGCAGATGTTTCTAGGAAAAGAGCTAGAGCAAGCTCTTCTACACCATGGCTCACAGCTTGAGGGAGGGACATTCTGGGGAAATGTTAAGCAAAGAACACCAGGAAATTGTCTTTTCTGACCAAAAAAGCATCAGAAGTTCCTTAGGACTCACAGCAAGAGCTCAAAGCAAATGGAATCTGCTTTTGTTATGGAAGAAAAGTGCTAAGATCTTCAGTGGCCTGAAACTGCAGAGACAGCCATATATTTAATGTTCAGATTGCATGCTGTGAAGTAATAATTCAGACAGTTCATTTCCATTAGTGTAATAAGAAGCAGGTGGTTTTCACAGTGGGATTTCCTTTCCCCCTACCCTCACTTTGTTTGTTTCTTTTATAGATTGTGTCTAGACATTTGAATTTTCAACAAATTAAACTTGAATTAGCAATTCAAAAGCAAATTTTATTTAAGTGTGTCTGAGTAATATGAATGATACTCTTGATTTCTAGCATAAGTTACACTTGACATTTTTTAGTTCTAATGTGAACAACCATATTGCTTCAAAAGCAGTAAGATAAAGTGACAGAGGGAGCTGGTATCCAAGAGCCCTCCAGATACTCTGGGATTCATCCCTGTCGTACCCTGTGAGGCAGCAAGCTCTACCTCTCTGCCAATAGAAAGCCAAAGCTCAGAGTCAACAAAGTGCCTTCCTCACAGGGTTACATAGAAATTTTGTGGCTGAGCTACAAAGAGAATTTGGGTCCCTTTGAGGAACTGGGGCCCGACTTTTCTTTATCTAACTTGTTGCTCTCTTGCTTAGTGCATTTTGGTTCATTGAAGTGCAGTAAAACTTGAGGGCAACAAAGACTAGCAGAGTCCATTTAAATGAAGGCTGTCAGGAAAGGTGGGTCTCCATTGGCCTTTTCCTGCTGTTCTTAGAGTGTTCTGAGGACATTACTTTGTGACAGAAGAGCAAAGAGGATAACTCAGTGCAACTTGCAACTGGCACAAATTCTAAACCCCCCTCCCAAGAATCAGACTGGAGATCTTGATACATCCACTGTGTGAGTGGCAGTGGTGTATGTGTGTGGGCATGTAAAACACAAGTACTTTCACAGCCCAGGAAACTACATAGTACACAGTCACCCTAAGCACTCATGACATTAAGTGACAGGACCTTCTATCAATGGAAACCATTGCTTACATCTCCATACTGCAAAATTCAAAAGTGTGGGAGGGCGACCCTGAAGGTTTTTGTGTCAGTGCAGCTTAAGTGCTCTCTCACTTCCACGCCCAGATTTAGTAAAGTTGCAAGGGCACATCTGGTTTCCCCTGCATGTGTCTGCTCTTACCACTGCAGAATCTGTACCAGGTGAAAACTGAGGACCAGGTGATTTGGCCAGTATCCCTGGCTGCAGCCCACAAGGGCCTCATGTGCACCACACATGAGCAGCTCATCAGTGGAGCACACAAAATGCAGCTATGACAAGTGCAAGATGCACTTACATCTGCAGGTTCTGTATGCAACACATGCTTATGTTTCTGTCCAGGAAATCCCAGATAGAAATGTGGGAGCCCAACATATGACAAAATTCCTGTGTTTCCTGAGTTTATAAGCAACTTAATCCAGATGTTACGGCAACATTCTTCTGCTTGTAGGTGTGCCGTGCAGAACTTCAAATAGGAACTTGTTTTCAAGCAATAAACAGGAGGATACAGTTACAGATTCTTGAAGCACAAAACCTTCCTGTTTCATCTATGCCACTGTCTTCAAGTAAGTCACATCAGCTGTTTCATGCCTCCTCTCTGAAAGCATTTGTAACAGGTAAATTGCTGCTCAAATGGGTTGGCAATTCATAACATTCTTTACGAACCTCAGACTAACACATTGTGTGGTAGATTTCCATTGCCAAGGCTTGTTTCCCCAGATGTCTTATTTGATTACATTTTGTTTGGTTTGAAGATGTGTGTTTATGTACTTTGGAAGATTTCTATCCCAGTATTAATCCTGACATACAAGAGCATTAGCTTGCACTTGCTGTTTGGATTCTGTGTTAATCAGTCCAATATTACTGAACATATTCTGTTTATGTGACTGGTCAGGAAAGCTATTGTAGAGTTCTTTTGGCCAGACTTTTGAGAAATTGTTGCTATTTGAAGCATACATATGGACCTTGTTGGCTCCTTTTTGGGTGTGTTGTGAGTAACCCTTTGTGTGTTGTGCCTTTTTCCTTCCCTTTTGTCCTAGATTTCTTTGTGAAAGTTGGAATGTTTAGTACAGAAGGGATCATCTATAAAAAGAAGACTCGCCTTCTGAAGTCCACTAATGGCCAAGTGAAGTGGGGAGAAATGATGGTTTTTCCAGTTAGCCAAGCAGAACAAGGAATTAGCTTTCTCATCAAGCTCTACAGCAGAAGTTCAGTGAGGAGAAAACACTTCCTAGGACAGGTTGGTTTCTGCTAAACAGCCCCGATACCCTTCACTTAAAATCCAGTTCCACAGGTTTCTTGGTATGAATTTTAAAATACTTTAAATGAGGCGCCATATAACAAAATAGTAAATTCTACTAAATTCTTCTGTATGTAATCCAAGCAAAAATGGTGCTGGGCTCTTAAACATGCACTACCATGAGAATGGGAGTTGGCACTTGATTTTTCTTTCAAAAAGAAATCCTAAGGTCAGTTTTGTGTGGAGTATTACTATGTGACAGATTCCTTCCAAGAGATATAGGATCTCCTGGTTGCCTTTAGCTTTCTAAAGAAAAACATAGCACCCACAGGAGCTCCATAATCTACAAGGTCCTGTACTGTAGTATCTCTTGGGAAGCATTTGTGTGATCATATTTATTTAACCACCATAAAACTTAGCAGTCTGGTCTCATTATTCTCTCAGTCCTCTTCCTCTGCTTATTCTAATTTACCATCATCCTGTACTTTCTGTCTCTCTTCTTCTTGATATAGTAAGCCATAGCTGTTCTTAATGCTCTGTGCTTTTCTTGTCTCAGTTAAATGCAGTAGCAGAATTTTAATAAATGCATAAAATAATAATATAGACTTGATTTTGAGACCCCAACTGTAACATCCCATGTCAGATGGAGGACTGTGCTGTCCTTAGGTACAAAAAATGGTACTGTCCTATTCTGGTGATGTTTTTTGTGCCTGCTGAAGACATGTAGCTACAGGAGATGCTCATGTGCTATAAGATACAGAAATGATGTGCCAGCAAGAGTTATGTGAATTTCCTCCATTTTTTGTAGCCTCGTGTTGCACATGTCTCATCTTCCTGTTGGTGGAATTAGATTTGAAATAGGAAAAGAAAAAAAATTGTCGTTTTTAGCTGTACTGCCTTAGAGGATGGGGGGGAGAAATAACTGAGTATGATTTTGCAGTCATCTAGCATTATGTGAGGTAATCTCCATCTGATGAGTTACATTTCATTGTGGATCTTATTTTTAGGAGGAGGAAAACTTGTGCTCCTCAAAGGTTTTTTGGAAAAGGTTGTTTCAGCTCATGAAGGCAGACATTGCCACATAACACATGAAGACAAAATATGGCTCAGGCAAAAATGTACTTTGAGCAATTGGCTGGGTAGCTGGAAAAAAATGAATATAGCTGGATCTATTAACTTTGTTCTTCAGAGAATGGTGTTTAATTGGATGCTGTTCTAAGCAGACAATACATAGATTAGGCTGCTTTTACAGGCATGTCTTTAATCATGAGCAAGATGTACATTGAATCTCTGTGGATGAAACATCAGCTGCCTATGGTATTCTGGAAGACATTATTCTCACTTCTTGAGGACTCATGCCCCAGCAGTATAGGCTAAATGTACTTCACGGTCAAGGTTTCTCAGAAGTCTTAAAAGGACTCATTCTTGGAAGACTTGAGGAAATAGAGTCCTGTAAATAACGTTACCTACTTACATAAGCAGCATTCTTTTGGCAATGGAGGCTGGTGATAATGTTAAGGGGGAAATTTTCCTACTTGTACTTCATTTCCTCATTTAATGGCCACTATCCACTAACTGAATACTGAGGAGAAAAGGACTCTTACTACGTGACTGTGTGCGGCATGGGCATGTTATAACCTCTGTGGAATGCAGGTCTGGCCCTGGCTGTGGGAGTGTGCACTTGGAAATGCTCATGAAAGTGCTGGACAGCTCGTGCCGGATGCTGCCTGGCCTGGAGCCAGCTGTGTCCGACACACAGAGCCGCCCCTGACCCAGTGTGAGCGTTTGAGTGCAGCAAGGAATGCTCCACTTAAAACATCTTATTAAGTACTGAAACCTTAGTATGCACTGGGTTCTCTAAACTGTTTTAGAGGCTAAATTTAAACACAGACTCCAGCTGAAAGCCAAAATGTTAGTACTAGCAGAGCTGTATTTGTTGCTGTTATCCTTTGGTCACAGTCTATACATTGTGTAGACTGTCCCACAGTCTTGTCCTACACTTATGTGGTATTTATTTGGAACTAGTAAATGCTAGGTTTTGTTATATCAGGTAAACTAATTTTATTTATTTTTTTCTCCTTAATGCAGATCTGGTTGAGTTCTGATAGCAGCAACAGTGAAGCAGTAGAGCAGTGGAAAGATACCATTGCAAATCCTGAAAAAGTTGTTGTTAAATGGTACAGCATTGGCCCATCTTGAAGACTGGAGATGAAATTCAAAACTGATTTTTCTACAGAAATTCATATGCTGTCTAAAATAGTATAAATTAAAAATAAATATATTGTCTGTGCAAGTTCTTCAGAAGTTCTCCACTGCATCATGCCTCTGTGGAAACAGAAAATTCACTTTCACCAAGAGACATACTGGTTAAATACTACTACAAAGAAGACTTGGGAACTGGAAAAAGTGCTCACTTGATTTCACAAAATCTGTCTTGAAAAAAAGATGTGTGCCCCTTTTGGATTTCCTAAAAGCACAGAAATTCAATTTTGGAGAGAAGCAGCTTAAATCAATTCTGTTTCACTAGACACTGACATCATGCTCACCTGCAGTGTTGTTTTTGGCAGACTCCAAACCAGGGAATGGGTCGTGTCAGTGGCTTGATTCTGGGTACCTGTGAGCATCTGGGCTTGCTGACACCATTTGATCAGGATAAGATGTGCTTGAGCAATTGGGGAAGCTGTGGCAGCAGGAGAAGACATAAAGGAAAGTACACAATAAGGCAGCACCCATAAGCTTTTCTGATCTCCATTTTGGATGAAGGGTTGTTCCAAAGGCTGTAGCTTGAGTTTGCCCCCATCCTTTTCTCAAAACAGAGAGATGGAAAGATAAAAGTTCCTCTGCCTTGGTGATCTTTACCAGAGGGGCCCTCCAGACTTGCTCTGTTTGGGTAAATTCTGGCTGGAATCAATGGAGTAGTACAAAGAGGCAATGACCCTGCCCAGGATCAGAGCCAGTATTTGCAGATTGCTTTTTATATAGAATACTTATTTGTAAACCACTTCCTATCTAGTCAAAACACTCTAGCATTTGCTTACATTGCCAAAACACGGGCTATCATGTACAAAGGCATAAGCAAAAATGTACTGACTTAGGTGCTTTTTGATATTAATTAAAATGCAGCACTGTAAGGGATTCAGACTTTTTTAAAGGATGGGCTGCTACTGCAGAAGAATTTGTTACATGTCTAGGATGCTAAAAAATTATGTGTGGGAGTATATTTTTATTACTTGTTTCTAGTAAGAAGACATCAACATTTTTATTGCAAATTGTATTTTTCCAACAAAATGTTAAGATTATATTTTCTGTTAGTTTCCATATTTTCAGATGTTTATTCATAGTTATTTTTAAGGGGGGAAAATACCAAGTATATAATTGATACTGTATAAATCTAAAAGCACAGATCTCTTAGCACTACTTCAACTACCTGATTAAAAAACACATATTTAATTGACTCCACTGCTTACATATGTACTGTTGGCTGTCTGGACTGTACAAATATGTATGTTGGTATAGATGCTGAATAAATCTACCTTTCTTCATAACTTGGATCTAATCCCACCATCTGACAGGATCTAGAGTGGCCGTGAGAGCACTCACCGCTGGGAGGAACATGGGGAGCAGAGAAAATGCTGTAACAGGAAAGCACATCCTCTTCAAGCACACACCTCAGAGCATCTTTACTTCGAGTTTTTTGTCTTTGAGTGTCAGGAAAAAATGGAATTGCTTAGAAATATTTTTTTTCATCAGCTGATAATTGCAACGTTGGAAACTTCAACCATCCATTTTGTTGTTGTTGAAATTTAATATTTTCAAAACAGAAGGATTTTTAGACTCGTACATACTCTGCTTTTCTGTAAGTCATTATAGAAGAACTGAAAAAGGGTTCTGCATGTTACTTGGAGAACAAACATTGGTTCTAGCTCTTACTCTTTGCAAAGCTCCCAGTAGGCCCAGAGGATCTTGACTGACACTGATAATTTCCAGCCAGTTAAAACAGTCAGGAGGAGCCTGGCCTGCTGGGAAAAATGAAAAAAGGAAGTGGGCTGAACTGATATTTTTGGAGTATCTTTATTTGAATACAGGGATCTTTTTTATTCATTGTGGCTGAACATTTTATTCATTGTGGCAATAAACAAAAGTGCAAGCTAACTGTTTCCTGATGCATAATGCTGTTCTGTTTAAAAGAGAGGACAGGGAATATCCCAGTGTTTTGTAGACTTCAATTACCACAGCAGTGGTTCTACAGACTTTGCCAACTCAGTGGATGCTGTATGAAATGGATTTCTGGGACTGTTTTAGAATACTTACCCTTCTAAAGGTCTAACTAGTCTTTTTTTTTTTTTTTCTTTTTTGCTATTCTAATCTATACGTTTATAATAAAAATCTATGAACAGCAAATATTCCTTATCCCCCAATTGTTTATACTAATGTTTAGCAGCATCTCAAAGTGAAGTTCAATTCCTACTTTTTTCTCTGAGAAGATGCCAGCTAACAACCACAGTTGTGTAGTGCTGTCTGTAGGAGAGTTAACTGCTGGCACACAGGAGATCCATAAAGCTTCTCCATGCAAGGTGCACCCAGGTACTGCAGCACTCTGAAGAGCTGCTCTGAGGCACTGCCCCGTCCTGTGCTCATTCCCCGGCTTTGGCAAGTTCTGCATTTGTGTGTGTTCATCTAAGGATTCCATGAGTTAACAGCTGACGAGCAAGAAGAAGGAAAAAAGACGTCCTGGGACACTCTTGTATTGGTCACAGCTGTCTGTTGTCCCTCTAAAGCATCCTCAGCCAGTATTTTGATTGTTACATCCAAGTTTACTGTCATTGAAAATACTGTTAAAGCTATTTTGCCAGTTCACTTTATTTGTAGATAAAAGGCACACGTGGTTTATAGTTGGATTTACTCTTGCTTCTAGTCAGTGACTCATCCAATTTCCTAACCTAAGGCAATTCTTATTAAAGCAGCAGAGGTTCAGAGATGTACCAGTTTTATTGTGGTCAGCTCCCAAATGGATGTGGATGAACTGGAAGAACAATTATGATCTTATATTAAATATTATTCATAATATTTCACTGAGAATTTGTAGTATTTATTATTTCACTGAGATCTGTGCCTGCATAGTTAGAAACCAACCACAGACTAAACTTGATCAGATTTTCCAAAAAGTGTGTTTATAATTTCACTGGTTAATCAAACAATCCTGTTTTATTTATTTATAACTAATAGCATTCTGTATGTAAACAAGGTTAACCAATTTATTTTTCAAATTTTTATGTCTCAGTGACACACCATGGCATCCTTTTTAAGGAAAAAAATGTGAGATTCTGCCACAGAAGATGAGTGGGTGTAACAGTTTGTAAACCACATTATCATACAACATTACGTGGAAAATAATTGTATTTGAGCATCTGATCTTATGTGATCACAACATAAATAGAGCCATGTTGTTAAATCCATTAGGCATCTCTGGTGTTTCCTTTTGTTGGCAGAACATCTGTGTAAAACAAAAGGTGATTTTGTAAGCATTCAATTAAGTACACATGCTGTTTGACTCCAAAATTGTTTGCCAGATGAAAGTACCCTTTAGAGTTATGAGTTGATTTTGCAGCCAAAACATAAACTTGTCTAGAAGTTTGGGGCAGGGTTGTCCCACATCTTATTTTCATCTTGCCAACATATATATGACATGGCTGCATAGTTGTGGAATATACCCTCCTTGTTTTTCCAGCTTCTGCTGCAAAATTACATCACCGCGTAAATACAGCCCCGTACATGATCTCATGCTTGGTGCATGGAAAAAGCCATCACTAAAATCAGCACCATGTTTCACAAACACTGCTCCACCACATGTACATTCTTTTCTCCAGCCTGCACTGAGGAACAGGCCCTTGGCTCTCAGTCCATGGCACAACTCCCACTGTGCTCAGCAGAAGCAACCAGTCTTCAAAGCTGGTTTAGTGATGGAATGATTTATCTAACAAAAGGTTGCACACAACTTTTTTTTTAAATCTGTTTTTAAAAGAGATGAAAATCTGTTCACACTGATGTTTCTATAGAAAATGAATTTCATTAAAGTAGATCTGCATATCCTAATGTAAAGCAATTCTTCTCATAGGTTTCAGAGTATTTAAAATAAATCCTCTGTGATTATTCTTCCCCCATATTTGACTGTAGGCGGCTCTTCTCCCTCACATAAACAAGTCTATAAACAAGCCTGCTTTTTGCAATTAAATTTCTGAATTTCTGGTAATGTTTCCCCCTTCTTTACCTAGTACTGGTACCAACATTATATATGTATAATTTGCTGTTCAAAGAACAAGATATAAGCAAAAGGCTTTCATTCTAGGACTTGGCTTCTGTCTAATGCTCTTCATGTCTGAGCTACCTTTGTCCACAGCTTCAGTGTTATGGTTCTTTTGGTGCTCTCCAAATTTCCGTGTTGTCTACCTCCATTGAATACAACAACAGGACAAATGAATTGTAATTTTTCATGTGTACCTGGGTATCTTCATTTGCCTTTTTCCCCCTCCAAAAATTACCTTAGGAAATCATTTTTTGTAATGAGAAGGAGTAAACTGTTTGTGCTTCTGACCTTTGAGGACAGTAGTGTTGTTTGACTGCCTCTGCAGTGCTTTGAGACAGAGGAATGCTCAAGGAAGAGTCATAAAAAGCTGCACCTCCAGATGGAGGGAAGCCTGTACCCCCTTCATGCATGATCTGGGAAACCCTCATTAGCCTGGGGACTGCGATCCCTTGTCAGATGCATATTGTATTTTTTATCCTTGTCTTGCAAAACTTTCTGGAGCTGTGGAGTAGCTAAATAGAGACATTTTCCATAGGAAGAATGATATGGTTCACATATTTCTGTGAAGCAGAGAATTGACTAAAAGATCTTGGAGGTCTTTGAAAAAAACACTTATAGGAATGTACTTAGTTTGAACATAGCCAAGCTTTGTCACCTGTTATGGGAGAGGAGCGGATTCTTGCTTTGTGGAACACAGCAGAAGAAAAGGGCACATACACCCCAAACAGGGCTGGCTTTCCTCTGCACTGGTATCATTATCCTTTCAACACAGAGGTGGAACTATATATGTTTAGCTGTCTTTGCCTGCAGTAAGAGCAAGTTGGGTTGGGAATTGTTGAAAGAGAGGTCGTGAAGGAGATAAAATGAGTGCTTTTGTTTTGAAAAACATTGCTTTTCAAAGCAATGTAACATGCTGTAACTATTGACAAAGCTTTTATTTGACATAGCTAAAGGTAGATGCTTACGCATTTAGGTATTTGCTCAGGTTCTACCAACACTTCCTGGCATGAGACTGGATTCATCCTCTCTATTTATATAAGGCTTCATTCTGCTGTGTTCATTGACCTTTGAGCTCTACACCTAATTGTGCCTGATTTCCTATGAATCTGTCCCTCATGGATGGTTGACTTTAGTGTGCAAAAAGGGGTAGACTTCTGCCATCTTTTTGCAGCACATCACATGATTACAGAGTTTCTGTCTCTGATGGATTCTCTCATTTCTAATAACTGCCTTTGGCAGTTGTTCTTTCACCTGGGAAACTGGGAACTGGCTCTCCCTTTTCTACCTGAATGTTCAAGACAGAATTATCTGTGACATCCCTGCCATCAGTCAAATTTGGCTGTGATAAATAATGGGCAAAATAATTTGGCTGTAATAAATAAATAAATAATAATTATTGTGGACCTTGGAAGAGAAATGAGTGAAAGCAAGCTCTGCTGCTTCAGGACCCTGGGGCTTAGCTGTGTTTTCCTCAGAAAATAACCCAGAGTTAAACCAGCAATGATTTTTTCACTTTGCTTTTTCTTCATTTGAACTCTTGCATTTCTGACTTTGAGCAATGCAAATAAATTGGCTGTATTACCTCTGAGCGAGACTGAACTTCTGTCATGCAGTACTCATTCAATAACTGCCTATCTGTAGAGAATATTTAATAACTTGTTTTAATGAATTGGATCTATGCAGTATGTGAAATAAAAATTATGTAGGCTGTTGGAAGCAAGGATGGCAAAGCATCTACCGGAAGGGTAGGTCATGAGGGGGGCAGAACTGACTACTAACTTATAATTCCAACAAGTGCAAATAGGACTCTAGCTGATTATCCCTGGAAGTAGTGTTGAGGCTGTTCAACAGTCTGCAAAATAATGCAATGCTTTCACTCCAAGGATATCTCCCCTCAGAAGGCATCTGCAGCTGTTACAAAACAACAGGGAAGACCAGAAATGTTCCAGTGAAGTGCCTGTGCACAGATTTCTCATTTCTGTCACAGATTTTTACAGGGGAGCCAGCACACACACTTGAGAATGCATCTGCTGAACCATTAGCCCAGCAATCCTCACCCCAGGGTCTGAGTTCCATGGCGCTCAGTCTTACAGGTAACTAATGTCTTACAGGCCATAGCCAAACAGAGCTATGCCACAAATCTTAGTTCTAAGGATAAAATTAGAGGATTGGGGATCTTAAAAAATATTTCACTAACAAGAATCTGAAATGTTCCGAATATGCAACACATAAAGATCTCAGTAATTTCAAAGCATGCCTAGAGAAATAGGAAAGGGGGAAGCTTGGCATTTGAGTCTGGTCTCCTGAGAGCTGACACACCTGACACTGTGGTGAGGCTTTTATCACTTCTGAACAGAGATCTATTTTCTAGTTAGTGAGATTAACTTAGACCATGTATGAAACTATCTTACAGAAATACATGGACTATATTACACGAAAACAGGAAAATTACTAAAATCACATTTTTAGAAAGACATAGTGAAGTATGTTATAATCTTTGAATTTGAAGAAGTTCATTGAGGCCCAAGGAGGAGACCAGAACACATCTGGAAACTGAAATAAAAGACTGTGACACTGGAAACCATGAAATAAATTTGTGATAATACCTTGGTGTCAGTTAGAGCCAGAGATAACAAAGAAAAAAATCCTGATATTCTGGAATTCTGGGACCGGTCAACACACACACATACACACACACATGCACATGCACACACCCACACACATATGCACACACCCATAGACTAGGGGACAAATGGTTTAGGCAGCAGCCTCACAGGAGGTGATCCTGCTGTTGAGCGAGTTTGTTACTGTGAATAGAAGTAAACCAGCCAAAAAAAAAAAAAAAAAACAACTTTCTTCAAATGCCACACCACCAAAGAGCACATTTTGCCTAGGGAACGAGAATTTCTATGATCCCCCTCAGTGAAGTTTGCATCTTTCTCTACAGCTATCAACCACGCAGCCATTTACTCCCAGACATACAGTCCT